AGTTGACGTTACTTTTATTCTTTTTAATGCTTCCAAAATGAAGAGTACGGAGAAATGAAACATCAACAAAGTATTCAAAACGTATATACATGATTACACATTAGATAATATGTACTTAATGTTCAAAATTAATAGTCAATATGTAGTTATTCTTGGAAGAATTAATTTGTATGTAGTTTGCATATCTGTTTTCAAAATCTAATGTTTTAATGAAGTTTTATATGCATGATACAGGTATTTCATGTTCTTAACAAAAATATCGTTGATTTATTTGGGAAAGTACCGTCTTCCAAGAATCGTTCGATATGTCTATATAAGCTTCTTAAGACATCCATCCAGGTAGAGGTGGACATATCACCACTTCTTAAGACATCTATCCAGGTAAAGGTGGACATATCACCACATTGAAACTGTCAATGGATTCTAAGGACATTGGTGAGCACCGCATCGCAAAAGGATCACAGTATCCCGTTTTAATTGATTCTATCTATAGAATTTTGTTTATTGTTCAAAAGATTACCAATATGAATATCTACTCCAACAACTGGTAATAAATTATTATAGAGACGGACGTTACAACTAATGTTTTGTTCATGGTTCTTTACATTTGTAGCTGAATGCAAGATAAGATTAGCATATCTTTTTCTGTGAACCCGTAACTCTTTACCTTACTAAACAGATATCATCTTGATTTGCACTAATCATAATGTTATCAATTATCATACTTGCGCGGAGGTTAACCATTAAAGATTACAGAACTGTGTACATCTGTATATATATATCGCAAAATGTCCCTCACGTTACAGGAAAGGCCAATATCATATAGTTTCACTAATAACCCGCCATGCAAGACAGTGGCAAACGCTTTTGAAATATATGAAAACGACACATACACATCAGCACCATGCTCCATTGTGACAATTACATTTATGTAAATACAACGCAGTACACAGGCTACAGAAACTATATTACAATAAGAACTATAAGATAATCAAAATAGCAATATAGAACTCAGACAGATCTTTGTATGTTATAGAACCGTATCTTAATCCAATGCATATTGATATTACTATAAAATGTCATAGATTAGAAGAAAGAGCGAAAATCAAAACCAAGGCATTTGAATATTTTCTATTAGGATTGATAACTCAAAAGCATCGGACAATTACCTTTCAACTGAATTATTTTATCTTATGGCTAATCTAGATATATAGTTTTCGTTGATGGTATTTACAAGATGACTGTGGGCGTCTCAACTTTATATATACAATAATACACATGACCAGAATGCATCGATGATATCTCACACTTACTTATCTCTCTTCAAATCTATCATTATTCTTTTGTGTCGTCATCGTATCACCTGATTTATTGTCAAATTTCTAATTATCATTTCGTTTTTACATATAGAAAAGATATCATCTTCAATTATTGACAATATCCATGTAGTAAACCTAACAAAGTTCGAAATAAAGACGATAAACCCTTTCGTATCAGTTAGTAATTCTATGCATTTCTTACGAAGATATGTATGTGTAACGATGTCGATTTCCTTGTGAATTTTCTATAATAAACCTGCACGAATTTAACTGCTTGAATACCACAGCTGATTCGATATTCAATGGCTTGATGCCAGTATCACGATGTCTGTAAAAGATGTCGACAGCTAAACGAAAACTACAATACAAATTTCCACGTGATGGTATTTGATGAAGACTATCAAGGAGAAGTTTTACTATCGTCACCATGATTTCACTGAGACACATTCGATTTCCCCGTGCCCTATGAAGTGAGTTTCGATGCCCGTTACATTTTATTGTGAAAATAAGTTGATTATAATTTAAAACACTATTTCGTGTTACATTACTGTCGTATTAGGTATAAAATTTAATGTGTGTGATATTTTACCTTATTGTTGTGTTAAAATGTAACATTGTTGTGTTAGGTGTAACGTTTAATGTGTTTGATATTTTATCTAACTGTTGTGTTAAAATGTAACGTTTAATGTGTGTGATATTTTATCTTCATGTTGTGTTCAGATGTAACGTTTAATGTGTGTGATATTTTATCTTACTGTTGTGTTAAGATGTAACGTTTAATGTGTGTGATATTTTACCTTACTGTCGTATTAGGTATAACATTTAATGTGTGAGATATTTTACCTTATTGTTGTGATCAGATGTAATGTTTAATGTGTGTGAAGTTTTACCTTATTGTTGTCTTAAGATGTAACGTTTAATGTGTGTGATATTTTATCTTACTGTTGTGTTAAGATGCATTGTTTAATGTTTGTGATATTTTACCTTGCTGTTGTGTTCAGTTGTAACGTTTAATGTGTGTGAAGTTTTACCTTACTGTTGTGTTAGGTATAACATTTCATGTGTTTGATATTTTACCGTATTGTTGTGTTAAAATGTAACGTTTAATGTGTGTGATATTTTATCTTACTGTTGTGTTAAGATGTAGCATTTGATATGTGTGCCTGATATTTAACCTACTTGTGTTCAAATGTAACTTTAATGTGTTATTTTAAGAACAAGCTGATTGTGTTCCTATGGCTGATAATGTGTGTGATATTTTACAACAGGTGTTAAATGTACCAGTGTGTGAATTTTAACTACTGTTGTGTTCAGACTAGTCATATGTGGATATTTTACCTTGCTGTTGTGTTAATGTAACGTTTAATGTGTGTCAATCAGTACTTTCTGTTAGCAGTACTCAGTTTCATGTATTGAGGCCCGAAATAGGGTCAGAAGATTGTAGTGAATCTATTTTAACGTGTAATCCTATTTCTGAGACACAGAAACCCAGTAGGCCTTCAGTGACTGATGAATTTAACATGTTCAGCAAGTATTTATTGAAAAAGGACCTCTTGGTGTCCCGTCTCACTAAGTTCAACGATGACCTGGAATACTACTCCGTATGGCGGTCCAGCTTCAAGATTGTTGTCAAAGATCAAGGAGTTTCTTCGGAGGAAGAGCTGGATCTCCTGGTAAAGTGGCTCGGTCCAGCATCCGTCAAGCAAGCGGTCAGTATCAGAGCAGCCTACCCCCATGCTCCAGACATTGGTGTATATCGTATATGGGAAAGAATTGACGACGAATTCGATAGCCTTGAAGTTATAGAAGAACGACTAGAGGCCAAGGTCTCAGCCTTTCCCAAATTATCTAACAGGGACACAAAGCAGATGTTTGAACTTTTAGATTTAGCTAGCGAGATACAAGCTCGCAAGAGTGATAAGAAATATTCAACGCTTCTGTCGTACTATGACTCGGCATCAGGGGTTTGTCAATTGGCAGAAAAGATGCCAAGCAGTGGATAGATGGGCCACAGATTTTCTCAGGTATCATGCCAAGGCTAGAAACGATCCTGGTTTCAAGATATCAGTTTCATCGTCTAATGGAGAAACCTTAGGGAAACCTCAGAATCCTAGAGGGAATACTCAGAGAAACATAGTTTCTGTACGCAAGACTGATATTGGGGATTCCTCCCATTTATCGGTGCAATGTCCTCTCCACAAGACGAATCACAGTTTAAATAAATGCAGAGCATTCCGCAAAAAGCCTATCGACGAGAGGAAACAATTTCGCAAGGATAATTGCATTTGCTTCAAGTGTTGTCAAGCTGAGAAACATGTCTTCAAAACCTGCAAAGCCGCAGTGAAATGTGATATATGCAAGAGTGGTAAGCATCCATCTGCATTACATATGGATGCTAACATTAAGCCGTCCGTATCAAATCACGGATTGGAGAGTCCGCCATGCGAGGTAGCGAACTCCAATTGCATGCAAGTTTGTGGAAGTTTCAAGTGCTTGTGAATATATATCCAGAAGGAAAACGTGAACTAGCTCTTCATGCAAATGCAATAGTCGATGACCAAAGTAACCGGAGCTTGGCCAAGTCGACACTTTGGACAAAAATATGATGATATGAATTACATCCTTTCCTCCTGCTCAGGCAGTGTTTCTATCTTTGGCCGCAAGGCTTCTGGTTATGTAGTGGAGTCGCTTGATGCTAACACAACGCTCACCCTTCCTACACTCATTGAGTGCGACGACATCCCGGACTCACGCAATGAAATTCCCACCTCGGAAGCTGCAAATCATCACCCTCATCTACAAGATATTGCTGACAGAATTCCGGACATAGATCCACAAGCGGACATTGTTCTTGTCTTGGGACGAGATATTCCATCAGCACACCATGTGGAAGACCAACGCATTGGGCCGCACAATGGACCCTATGCCCAGAAGCTTCCTCTTGGATGGGTTGTCATAGGCGAAGTTTGTTTAGGCAGTGTGCACATGACACCTTATGTGACTGTAAACAAGACATTCATACTGAAAAATGGCCGCCCTTCTCTGCTTGAATCATGCCCGAACTGCTTTGAATTTGAACGTGGTGAGCCAAAGTAATCTTTTCCATTATTCCTCAGGACGTCTTAAGATGACAAACCAGGTATGTCTTCTGATGGCAAAGAGTTTCTTTGCCGATGGCAAGTGGACAGCCCCCACTTCCATTTAAGTTAGAGAGAACGCCTCTTCCTGATAACCGTGAATTGGCATTCAAGAGAGCCAAGATATTAGACTTATGTCTCCGAAAGGATCCAGTCAAGCTCTCACATCTGATTGAATTTATGGGCAATATCTTGACCAACGGTCATGCCAAAATTGCACCGGAACAGGACGTTGGAGCTGAAAGATGGTTTCTGCCTACTTTTTGGAGTTTACCATCCTAAAAAGCCTGGGAAAATAAGAGGAGTCTTTGACTCTTCAGCAAAGTTCAAGGTTTGTCCCTCAACAATGTCCTGATAACCGGCCCAGACCTGGTTAATAGTCTACTAGGCGTTCGCCTAAGGTTTCGTCGACATTCAGTGGCGATTACAGCGGACATACAACAGATGTTTTATTGTTTCACGGTCATAACTAAACATCAAAATTATCTACGTTTTTTTCTGGTATAAGGAAAATGATATAGAAAAGCCACTCGTGGAGTATAGGATGACATGCCATGTATTCGGAAACTTTCCACCGCCAGCCGTGGCAATTTTAGGCCTGAGGAAGGCTGTCGAGGAAACTGATTCTGACGTGAAAGAGTTTGTTACTAGAATTTTTTATGTCGATGATGCATTGACTTCTACACCCAACAGTGCGACTGCAATCTCAGTGATAAAGAGAACACAAGATTCTCTACGTAACAACGGGAACATTCGATTACACAAAATCTCCTCCAACAAAAGAGAGGTTCTTGAAGCATTCCGTGTCAATGACCTTTCTGGGGATATTGGAGATCTAGATCTTCAAGACGACTCTGCACCCTTCCAAAGAAGTCTGGGTCTTTATTGGAAACTATCAAGAGACATTTTCACTTTTAATTCAGATAGTACCAGGAGGCCTTACACGAAACGAGGTCTGTTTGCCACTATCAACAGCGTGTTCGACCCAATAGGTTTTGCAGCACCGGTTGTGTTGCGAGGAAAACTATTATTCCGAGATTTGACCGCATCTGTTCTGGATTGGGATGAGCCTCTTCCTGAGGAAAGGCAACGAGAATGGGACTTGTGGCAGAATTCGCTTGCTCAGCTTGATAAATTTCATGTATCCAGACAGTATTTCATAGACAGGTCCTGTATTCCCACTGATTGCGTTCACATATACACCGATGCCTCAAAGGAGGCCATTGCTGCTGTTGCGTACTTCTGTACTACCAACGAAGAGGGAGTAGCCAGTTTTTCCTTCATCTTGGGGAAGTCAAAGGTAGCATCCAGTCACGGACATACATTCCCTCGCCTTGAGCTGTGCGCGGCAGTTTTGGGTACTGAATTGGGACAAGTCATCTGTGAACAGTTAGATGTGGATCCAGCTAATATTCAGTTTCCCACCGATAGCAACGTAGTCCTGGGCTATATCCACAATAAGGTACGTCGATTTTTTGTATATGTCGGAAACCGGGTTGACCGAATACTGAACGTCAGTAAACGTCATCAATGGATACATGTCGCCACTGATAAGAACCCAGCAGACATTGGCACCAGGTTTATCGAGGCAGACAATCTTTCAGAAAATATGTGGATCAAAGGCCTTGCATCTCCCGTAGAGCGGTCAGACAGCTTATACGAACTCGTCACACTAGAAGAAGATTCGGAAGTGAGACCAAAGGTAGTTTCTCTCAAGACTCTGAAATCGAATTCAGATCGTCTTGGCACTCAAATATTTGGCAGATTCTCGACATGGAATTCGCTCATCCGTGCTATAGCGACTCTTATTTCAAGACTGGCTCGGTTCCAAACTTGTAGTGGAGGTAAAGGCCTTGAAACTGTTGACATTCTGGAGAAAGCTAAGAGAGTTATTATAAGAGAAACACAACGGGAAGCTTATCCAAGAGAGATTTTGAGGATAAAGAATTCTGAGACCTTACCTAAGGATAGTCCAATTATTTTTCTTCCCCCTACCTAGACGAGGAAGGTATCCTAAGAGTAGGGGGTCGTCTAAACAAGTTCATGCTCGAGTTTACCATCAGGAACGCCACTTAACAGCGGGAGCTATCCGTTCCGGAGGGTTCTGGATTACAGGGTCAAAAAGACTGGTCTCGACAGTTATCTTCAAATGTGTTCGGTGTCGTCGGCTGAGATGAAAGACCGAAGTTCAACTCATGGCTGATTTACTAGTGGATCGCCTGACCCCTTCCCCCCCCTTTACCAATGTTGGTGTTGACATTTTTGGTCCGTGGTACGTGTCTGCGCGGCGTACAAGAGGAGGTCAGTCTCAGCAGAAATGTTGGGCAGCCCTATTTACATGCCTTGTAACTAGGGTAGTTCATGTAGAGATTATAGAGGACATGTTTTCTTCATGCTTTACAAACGCTCTCCAGAGGTTTAGTGCTATCCGCGGTTCGTTGAAAGTATTTCGCTCTGACAGAGGTACAAATTTTATAGGATGTACAGATTCATTTGGAATATCCGCAATCAACGTGGTAGACGAACAGATTTCCAAACATCTTCTCGACAATGGTGTTATGTATTTGTATTCTCTATCAAATACCTTGAAAAGTCTTCTTAGTATTTTAGTATAACATCTGTATAGTCTTAGTCAGCTGAAAGTTTGTTTTCCTTCTTGTATTGTTAAGCATCTACGTGATCATGAATAAACATGTGAGTGAGTCGCCATTTGGAATTGTTCGTGATTATATAACATGGTGACAGAATCGGGATCAATCGCCACATCAACGTGCCATCCATGTCAAACATACAGTCCGTAAAAGAGACAAGAAGTTAAAGAACCGAAATGGCTGATTCAGTAGGTCAAACACCAGCAATGGACTGGGAAAAGATTGACTTAGTAGCGTCATGGAAAACTTTTAAACAGCATGCTGACTTTATGTTCACGGGTCCACTGAAAGGCAAGTCAGAGCCGGAAAAGTGTTCATATTTGATGCTGTGGGTAGGAGAAAAGGGGAGAAATATTTTTTCAACCAGGACAATTGACCAAAATGAAGCTAAGAAGCTGGAGACCTATTACACACGTTTTGAAATGTATGTAAAGCCTAGATCAAACATAATTTACAACAGATACAAACTACAATCAAGAAAACAAAACGAAGGTGAGACTTTTGAACATTTTGTAACCGATTAACAGGTATTAGTAAAAGATTGTGAATACGCAGACAACGAAAATGTAGTTAGAGACCAGATTGTGTTGGGTCAACTCTTACGTTAGCTTTGGCATTAGACTGTGCTAGACATTATGAAATGAGTCATGCTCCGGCACGGACAATAAATGAAGCTTCCTCAGGCACGGCGGCCAATGTGAATGTTATCCGGAAAGGAAACAAAAGTAAACACAAGCGCAAGGAAGAAACCCGTAAAGAATATGCACCGAAAGAAAAAGAGAACTTGTGCTCTAAATGTGGATATCCGAACGCTCATAAATCGTGTCCAGCGTTAGGGCAAACGTGTAAAAAGTGTGGACGAAAAAACCACTTCGCTCGAAAGTGTAGAACTCCGAAAATGGACAAATCACACAACAAAGTACATTGGTAGACCAAAACGAGTACACGGATGACAGTGACGAAGAAACATTATTTGTGGGATGCCTCGAAGTAAACACTTTGACAGAAAGTGGAGACCTACAGTGGGTTGAAACTTGAAATAGGAGGGTCCAAAATAACGGTACAACTGGATACCGGTGCACAATGCAACGTAATACCATTAGATATGATGAAATCAATGGAAAATGTTGACATGAATCTAAAACCATCCACACCGATGAGATCGTTCTCAGGACACAAAATCACGCCGAAAGGTAAAGTAACATTACCATGTAAACACAAAGATAAAATGTATCGGCAGGATTTTCAAGTGGTGGATCAAAACGTGAAACCAATTCTCGGGGCTGATGCATGTCAAGCTATGGGACTGGTGAAAAGAATCCATAGTGTTGTTTCGGGTAGTACAAATCACATTCCTGATGATTTACAGAAACAGTATGGACATGTGTTCAAAAGCATTGGATGCATGCCAGGTACGTACAGCATCAAAGTTGACCCGAACATCCAGCTAGTGATACATCCACCCAGAAAAATACCCATTTCTCTAAAAGAAAGGGTGAAAGAGGAACTCGAGTCGATGGAACGCCAAGGAATCATCGTGAAACAAACAGAACCTACACAATGGGTAAATTCAATGGTAACTGTTACGAAACCCAATGGAAAAATACGAATCTGTATTGACCCCAGAGATCTTAACCAAGGTATACAGCGTGAACATTACCCCATGAAAACAATAGATGACATCATTGCGGAAATTCCCAATGCAAAAGTGTTTTCAAAGTTAGATGCACGGTCGGGTTTTTGGCAGCTCAAGTTGGACGCTGAAAGCACCAAACTATGTACATTTAACACGCCATTTGGCAGATACAGCTTTACCAGACTGCCATTTGGTATAAACTCTGCTCCTGAAGTGTATCAGAGGGCTGTGTCACCTATGATTAGTGATATTGAAGGCTGTGAAGCTGTTGTTGATGACATTTTGATTTGGGGTGAATCTATGGCTGAACACAACGAGCGTCTTGTAAAGGTACTTGACAGAGTCCAGGAAAATAATCTGAAACTTAGTGAGGACAAATGTCGCTTCAGACAGTCAAGTGTCACGTACGTTGGCCACGTACTGTCGTCAGAAGGCGTAAAACCTGACGAAGACAAAGTACGCGCTGTTCTTGAAATGAAACAACCTAGGACGAAAAGTAACTTCAAACATTCCTTGGATTTGTGCAGTATATGGCCAAATTTATACCCAACATGTCGGAAATAAGCGCACCTCTGCGAGGACTCCTGAAAAAAGAAGCAGAGTGGTGCTGGGAGCAAACACAGGAAGAAAGCTTTCAAAAGCTCATGAGTATGGTAACACAGGCTCCAGTGTTAAAGTACTATGACCCTAAAAAGGACCTTACCTTGACGGTCGACGCCAGTTCCAAAGGCCTTGGTGCAGCTATACTGCAGGAAGGGCATCCTATAGCCTGTGCATCGAGGGCCATGACTTCGGCGCAGCAAAATTATGCTCAAATTGAGAAAGGAAAGAGACCCTGGCAATCGCATTTGGCTGCTCGAAATTTCATCAATACATATATGGGAGACGCGTACATGTCGAAAGCGACCACAAACCTCTACAATCCATCTTTCGTAAACCCTTGATGATGGCTCCTCCGCGTCTACAACGTCTACTACAAAAGTACAACTTGGACGTCATCTTCAAACCGGGCAAGGAAATGTTCATCGCAGATACGCTCAGCAGGGCATACTTACCAGATAGTGCGGATGATCTAGTACCGGATTTGTCTGTGAATTTCGTATCCGCATATCTGCCGCTCTCGCCAGAAAAGTATATAGAATTCCAGAAGGAAACGGCTAATGATCATGAGTTACAGATTCTACAAGATGTGGTTCTAGAAGGTTGGCTAAGTGATAAGAGGGAAGTGCCACAAGAGGCTCGACCCTACTGGCCATTCCGAGATGAAATATCATGTGTTGATGGCCTGTTGTTTAAAAATCACAAGGTCATAATTCCAAAATCTCTGCGTGAAAAAATGCTGGCCTTAGTGCATAAGTCTCATTTGGGTATAGTGAAATGCAAGTCAATGGCAAGAGACACCCTATATTGGCCAGGAATGAGTGTTGAAATTGAAAATATGATTCAAAAGTGTAGTGTGTGTGCAGAGGCCTCGCGAAAGGATCCAAAGGAACCACTCAAGGAAACAGAAATTCCGGACCGTCCGTGGTCCATCATTTCAACTGATTTATTTGAATTCCGGGGGCAACACTATTTAGTATCTGTGGATCATTACTCCAAGTGGCCAGAGCTCGCGAAACTGGATAACCTCACCAGCAGCAATACCATACCATACCTCAAAGGTCAGATTGCTCGATATGGTATACCGGATCGTATCATTTCTGATAACGGACCACAGTTCGCCTGTGAAGAATTCACAAAATTCTGTAAAGACTACGGAATTGAACACCGAACATCGAGTCCGAGATTCCCCCAGGCAAATGGACAAGCCGAACGAACAGTTCAGACGGTAAAAAACTTGTTTTTCTGATGTGCATCGTATGGAATGGCCGATGGCCATAGTCTCAAATGTATTCCCATCAGAAGATGGTCTCGTTAGGAAGTTGGAAGTGCGAGTGGTAAAAGGTGATAGGACGGTGAAGTACACTAGGCCAGTGCATGGAGTTGTGCTTCTTGTCGCGTCCTAATTAAGGATCTTAGAACTCTCATGCTTGCATCATTAACATTACTTAGCTCTGTGACGCTAAATTTTGTAATTTTTTCATAGTGTAGTGGTATACCTAGTAGGCATACCAGGAGGGGAGTGTGCTGTCTTGCTACCTTCCTTTTCAGTTTGTATTAAGAGTTATCTCCCTTTTTACCACTCTTTCGTTATATAGTTGCACCGTGCAAGCTTCATGACACTCAAAACATCTTATGGCAACTATCGTGTAAGTTTATTGTATCATTCCTATCTGATATCAGTTTATACTCGAATATTTATATAGTGGATTCAGTTTAACAATTTAGATTAGGTTGACATAGATGCTAATTTTATTTGCCCCCGATTACGGTAACGGGGTTACATAGTATATTTATATGCATGTATAAGAAACCACTCCAAGTTGATAGATGTGATTAGTGTTATTAGTATAAAATGTTAAATTCCAAGATGCACATTTTATATTTACTCCTAAATTTTTGACACCTTGTTTTATTCTGTATTTTGCAGTTTTTTACCCTCTCTGGAGGTCTGTGATCATTTACAATGCCAAAAACAAATAAAGTTGATTCCATCACAACTATCAAGGAGAAGTTTTATTGGCGTCATCATGATTTCATTGAGAAACATTCGATTTCCCCGTGCCCTATGAAGTGAGTTTCGATGCCCGTTAACATGCCAATGGTTCTGTTGATCACTCGTTACTCTCATTTTCTTGATCCAGATGGCAGATAAGGGATTTCTTAATCAACAGGAGATAATGTTTCTATACAGAAAGGGTAGTATTGTAACCCATTACAAACTAGTTACGTTATTGATAGATGAATAATGATTGTTTCAATCAATTTTATTGTGAAAATAAGTTGAGTTTAATTCTAAAAATTAATTTCTTCACTGTCAATCTAAAAAACGTTTTTTAAGTATCCACGGTTACACGGTGTCCAATTAAGTGTCCAAATAGAGAAAGAATCCTACAAAAGACAGCAATAACAGTAGCATTTTCCAATACTATTAAGTAATTAATTGATTAATAATTGATATTGAAATTCCAACTAATGCATTCGTTCAAGGAATTGTTATGTAATACTAAGGGCCGATTGGGTTGTTTTTTTTAATCGACGATGAAAACTGAGTGAAGCAGACACGCAATTATCAAATAAACCTTGTAAAGGTTAAATACATGGAGTTTGATTAAGGCTCCGTCCACACGTTGATATTGCCTTCAACGTGTTTTTTAAATTTTGTTTTTACCTTGACTGTTGTGTTATGAAGTACATGTAATGTCTTTTATGTGTGATATTTTACCTTCCTGCTGTGTTTACCTAACTGCTGTATTAAGATTTAACGTTTAATGCGTGTGATTTTAATCTTACTGTTGTGTTAAGATGTAATGATTAATATGCGTGATATTTTAACTTACTGTTGTGTTAAGATGTAATGTTTAATGTGTGTGATATTTTAACTTACTGTTGTGTTAAGATGTAATGTTTACTGTGTGTGATATTTTAATTACTGTCGTGTTAAGATGTAATGTTTAAGGTGTGTGATATTTTAACTTACTGCTGTGTGTAATAAGTGTGTTAAGATGTACAAGTATAACGACCAAATGCGAGTGGTAATTGGAAAACGTTAATAATGAAATTTTAGGCAGGTATGAATGAATACATGTCACTTTTAATAATTCGAAAACATCAAACCAAACACTTGTCAAACCGACTAGATGAAATGGCAAGTACAATGTCCGTATTATATTTTTATTCTGTACTTACTAGTGGACCAATTAAGATTTCCTACGTTATTTCTTTTTCCATTGAAACAATTGAAGTCATATAAATTATTAAAATATCTGCAGTTCCGTTGAATAAATTTCGTTACTGTTTTCATCACCTCTTTGCTAGAAATGTTTGGTTGAGATTGCTGAAAGGGCAAGGTCATCAGCAAAAAAAGAGCTTCTGCACTTAACTCGAGTTCATGGGGTCACTCCAACCTTGTGCATTGTCCTCTTGTGGAAAACGTTTGCTTGTATTGATTTTGCTGTTTTTGTCAAATGTTAATGCTGTTGTTACTATAAATTAAAAAAAAAATCGTTTTCGCACTTTACTTCCTGTTTCGTTGGGCATATTGATTTCAAGAAGATCTGTAGGTTTCATTTCAGGATTGTATTTAGTATTTACCATGCTAGTATCAGTATTTGATGAGATAGCGTAATGCATAAACATAGGTATAGGATAATCTATCACTACTCTCCCATTTAAATGTATTTACACGCCGCATAAATTAGTACAAAAACGACCAAGGGGATCATTATGATTTGGCGATACAGTGTTCTAATTCAGTCTGAAAGTCAGACGACAAAACAAAGCTACAACATTTTATAAAGATTCGTTTTATTTGCCTGTTTACATGGCATCACATGGAACATTTATAATGACAAACAAGACAAGAACAAACAATAGTGTGTAATACTATATTAGTGTATATGTACGTAATAGGTACATAAAAGTTTCCTTCGGGAAATGTCCATTCAAATGGTGTTCCTACCAAGTATGGACTCTAAATTCAAAAGCTATCTAAAGCTCGGGCGTTGTGATGTTATTAACGGTATGTCAGCTGTGTCATTACCCAATACCCTCAGTCTGTAATGTCGCCATTACCGTGTGTCTGTAATGTTATCATTGCCGTGTCTGTTATGTCGCCATTACCGTGTGTCTGTTATGTCGCAATAACCGTGTGTCTCTGTTATGTCGCTATTACCATGTGAAGGGTATGTCTCTATTAGCGTGTGTCTTTTATGTCATCATTACCGCGTGTCTGTTATGTCGCCATTATCGTGTGTCAGTTATACCATCAGTAACCGTGAGTCTGTTATGTCGCCGTTACCATGTGTCGTTTATGTCGCTATTACTGTGTGTATGTTATGTCGCCATTGCCGTGTGTCTGTTATGTCGTTATTATCATGTGTATGTTCTGTGGACATTACCGTGTGTCGTTTATGTCGCCATTTCCGTGTGTCCGTTATGTCGCCATTGCCGTGTGCCTGTTTTGTCGCCATTACCATGTGTCTGTTATGTCATTATTACCCTATGTCTGTTATGTCCCTATTATCGTGTATCTGTTATTTCGCCATTACGTTGTGTCTCTGTTATGTCGCCATTATCGTGTTTCTGTTTTATCGTCACTGCCGTGTGTTTATATCAATTTAAATTTTTACCTGTACGTGAGCGAGATCAGGATAGCTCAGTCGTGGGCTAAGATCCTGTAACATGATACCAACCGACTGCGTATGAATAAACTGATGTGTTGTTCCTGACTTTAGATCGCATGTGTTCTGTGTATTAACTGAGGAGTTTTTCAGAACAAAGAAATTACATGTAACCATAATTTCGACAATTTTTCAAAGAAATTACATGAGAGCAAAATATCACAAAAGGAAAGATGATTTACTGGGAGTGTCTTGAAAAAAATAACAACCATCTACGAGATGTAAATAAACAATGGCCAGTCGTGTTCCAAAATGAGGGCATGGTAAATAACTAGAAAACCAACAGGCAAACTAACGAGCATCAAACACGTCGAGAAAAGGAAATGAAATAATTCTCAATAAGATCAGTATGACAACCGTAAAACTTCCATAATTTTCCACGACCTGCATCTCTCTAAATGTTGTCGGCATCTTCCACTACATACAATAAGCGAATTCTTTAATTGATCTCCATATCTTGACAGACTTTGCAAAACAATAGTGCAATAACACATGTGTCCGATAGCATAGTTTATGGTTTTTCTTGTTGGTAATCCAATCCCGATTTGAGAACATAACAGTTATGGATCAGGTATGTATTAAGCTTTGGTATTTGATTTGTCCAATTTTACGGTTTTGAGATTGTACATTTGAACGGGTTTCCAGTACCGAGCAATACATTTATTTTTGGAAAGTATAATCGATATATATAGCAATCTCATATAATGTAATAATGGTATTTTGTTGTCTTATCTGAATGGAGTACGAAAGACTGATTAAGATTAAAAACCTCCAGACATAAATCAAGCATTGATATTCTTTTATTTCACAGAATCTGCATTGGTATGTGTCATGTGTAATATTTGTGCAATCCAGAATCTGAAAATAGGAAAAAAGCAGAATTAAATGATAACTAAAATTGTAAAATAGAAATGCGATATCACAACCAGTAAGGAATTTGTGTGTGACGTTTCAATGACAAATGTGAAGAGTATTTGCACTGAGGTAAATTGTGTGCTATAATCATGTGGACATTATGCTGGAAAATATTGATATGAAATGATGATAGAGTTTTGTCGAAAACATGGTGATCCTATAGAATTACATTAGATAGTAACAAGAATGGTAGGGCTTATTTAATTCCTAAGTTTCTAATGACGAAGGCAAATGAGACAATTTTGCTAGAATTGTATCAACTAGCATTGGCAGACAAATACCAGTTACAATTGTAGCTGTTTTCATTTAAGAATGGGTGGATACAATCAAGTGAGTTCCAAATGTCTTGTGTTTTCAAGATGTATGCATATTTAACGAACTAAGATGTCAAGAATAATTGGTGACCTGACCATGAAGTGTGAATGATGTCTGATAGGGAAGGTCTATAGAGTGAATATGTCAAAAAGTTTAATTCCATCTTAGCTCGTTTGTCCATATTTTCTCTAATACATTGTCTTCAACGAGTATATGTTGAGATGTAATATTTTTACTATTAAATGACGATTCTGTTTTTGGCAGTGATGTCTGTTTCGTGTCTATTACCTTTAATCATTGGTCATTTGTTCATTATCAGTAATAGTGAGGTCCGCCG